AAAAGAAAAGACATAAAGGCTTGGTTTGCTGGGGATACAGCGGCATAAGCGCCTGCCTGGCAAGCACGAGGTCCTGAGTTCGATCCCTAGTACTAAAAAAAAAAATCGTCTTTACAGGCTTGGGTTAATACATGTAACATTTCTAGAAAGACACAAAAAGTTTTGTATCTAACTCTACTGATGGTTCTCCTACAACTTAATTTGTATTTAATTCTCTCGAAGCTGTTCATTTTTTCCTTCCTTTATTTTTAATGGGCCTTCCAATATACTTTATGTGTTAAATTTCAATATTGCCAAAACTATATATTATGGTTTGATTTTTTCTTTAATAAAAAGAGACCCATACAAAACAGAATCTGAGAAAGTCAATCTGAATTGAAACACCAACACTGACTAGCTGGGGTAAATCTTGGCTTTCCTTTTTTTGTTTTTTGGTTTTTTGAGACAGGTTCTCACTATGCAGTTCAGGCTGGCCTTGAACTCACAATGATCCTCCTGCCTCAGCCTCCTGAGTGCTGGGATCACAGGAATGTGCCTCTACTCCTGGCAAGACTTGGCTTTCCTAAGGAACTACAGTGCTTAATGCGGCTAGATTTTTTAAAACAGGGAACCTTCCCGAATCCGTGTGCCTCACCCTCGTGCAGGGGCTCTGCCACTCTTCTCTGTATCGTTCCAATCTGTGTACGTGCTGCCAAAGTGAGCGCTGTGCAGCTAGATTTGAACATGAGCTTCTAAATTTATCAACTGTTCAAAAAATACAACTTATCAGCTGTTGACAGTAAAGTGGAGATGTCACCACCTTTGACTTTATTGTGCAGAAATTTATAATTAAGATGATTTCCTATAGCAGCAACATGGAATCCTGATCCTCAGCGAGGAGGAGAAGCAATGAGGGCCGCGGAGATGGCTCAGCGGAGTAAGCGCTTCCCTGGCAAGCACAAGGGCCTGAGTTCAATCCCTGGGCCTGTTGAGAGAGAGAGAGAGAGAGAGAGAGAGAGAGAGAGAGAGAGAGAGAGAGAAGCAATGAGCAGACAAGCAGAATGGATGGACTGGTGGGCGGATGGATGGATGATGGATGGATGGACAGATGCACAGATGGATGGATGAATAGATGGCAGCATAAATGGATGGATAGACAGATGGACAGATGGACAGACGGATGGACGAATACATGGCAGTGTGGATGGATGGATGGATGGATGGATGGATGGATGGATGGATGGATGGATGGATAGGTAGACAAATGGATCAATAGTCCCAGAAACATGCTAAGGGGATTCTCCGCTCAGCAAACCTTTCCCTGTTGCCTTCCCAGAGGACACAGCTTTGCCCTTGGGTCACTTTTGTCACCAGCCACTGGAATTCCCAGTAGAGCAGCGGAGACAAACCGATGGCCCGCGTGGCACAGCAGGCACACGGAGTCCACTGCACTGCCGTGTGAGCCGAGGGCACGAGCTGTTCTTTCTGAACCAAAACCTCAGTGTTGCCTTTCAGTTGCGGTGCTGGCACTTTTCGATAATAAGTGGGTTTGGGATTGCAGTTTGAGCGCTTGAGCTCCAAGGGGTTCACCGTCGCGGCAGCACAGGGATCTCTGGGACGATGCAGAGCTGCTGTGGCTGTGGCTGTGCTGTGGTCAGCGCCCCAAGGACACCCCTGCGCTGCCGCGGCCCTGTGCCGGTAGCCGAGGATGGGTCTGCACGGATGTCCCCCGGGGACCCCGCTGGGAGGGACGAGCCCCTGCCACAGCCCCACTGGGACCCCGTGCGAGACCCAGGTCCCTTCTGCCTATCATGGGTAGCACCGTGTCGCCACCATTAATCTGCTGCAAAGAGCCAGCCAGCACTTTGGGACTGTGGCACAGTTCATCATCCCAGGATCTCTATGTAAAGCTTTTAAAGACAAAAGTAAGGGAGACAATTACACAATTGCAGAGACCAGAGTACGGCGGCGCTCAGAGAGAAAGACGAACTCGAGAGCCAACAACAATGCAGCGTAAACAGCTCGGCAAATAACAGGGCAGATTCCCCACTAATAGAACGGTTCAACACCTGGACGCAGCCCCACGCCTGATTACACACCAACAACACACCCATAAAGGAAGATTACAAGCTGCAATGTGTCTTCCGAGAAACAGCATATTAACCACTGTTCGTAGACTTCCCCACTTGCGATCCTTTAATTCCTTCATTTAGAACACAGTTTGCATTATAATAGCCAGCTTCACTTCTGTTTTTAAAACAACTGGTTACGTGTGCATTGCCAAACTGTGGGTCTGCAGGATATTATCATAAACGAAGACAACCGCAAGCACAGTGAGCTAGGCAGTGTTACACACGTGTAAGCCTGGCGCTCAGGAAGATGAGGCAGGATGATCCCCACAAGTTCGAGGACAGCCTGGGCTACACAGTGAGCTCAAGGCCAGCCTGAGCTGCATAGCAAGACCCTGTCTCAAAAAGTGCTTAGAGGGGCTGGTGAGATGGCTCAGTGGTCTAAAGCACCTACTTAGAACAAGCTAAGCTAAGCAAAGCACAGGGACCGCGGTTCAATCCCCCAGCACCACATGCCAGCCACACACACACACACACACACACAGGAAACTGTTTCATTGACATTTGTTTCACAATAAAATTAAATAAATAAATAAATAAAAATGTTTTTTAAAAAGAAAAAGTGCTTAGAGAGGGTTCTTCCTGCTGACTGGAGGCTGCCCAGTGGGTTGATGCAGGCGGCCTTTTTTTCCCGGGACCTTTGGGGTCAGAGGTCTGCTACAGAGACTTGGAAAGCCTGACTGTGGGAGGCCGGGCCACTGGGGCTCCGTCCTTCGGGCGGGACTTGGTCCCAGGCCAGTGTTGGGAGGCAGGAGGCCATGGCAGGGTCCTCGGGCCACTGAGGACCAGGCCCAAACATCACGTTGGGGCCACAGCACAAGTGAGTCTCGCACGGCCAGGAGCCTCATCCTGTCAGCTTCGGGGGCCTTCAGTGGTCGGGATTTCCCTGAAGTACCCAGGAGGGGGTTGGAAACTTCCTGCTTAGTTATTCTCTTGTCCTAAAACTACTCTAAAAATAAAATGTTAGCATCTCACTCCCGTCCCAAGCCACTGTGCCCCAGCACCCTTCCCACACGGGTGTGACCAAAAGCTCATGTCCTCATGCCCGTTTTGACTTTGAGGAAGAGCCAGACACACAGTGCCAATTGCCATTGATACAGGGAGAAAAACTGGTCTCGAGGGTGGGTGACCTCCAAACAATACAGGGAACCTCCAAATGACATAGAGAAAAACGATCTCCCGACCTGACCTGCACAACTTCGTGTTCTCTAAAACCGAAGAATGAATTTTAGCAACAAACGGAGGTTATGAGCAGAATATATTTATTGAGAGAAAGAAAGCTCCTGTCACTAGAGGGACTGGAGGGGGGCCCGAGCGGGTAGTTCCCCAGGAAGCTGTCTCTTCCAGGGACTTTTATAGTGTAAAACTATGCGGAGCTAAGGTAGAGAAAATGGGAACTCACTTAGGTGGGCAGGAGGTGGGACAAAACTATGGCCAACCAATGGGATTACAAGCACCATTGCTCAGGTAAAGCTGATTAAATCCAGTATCAAATGGGAAAGCGAGTCACGAAGCAAGCGGGCACAAATACGGAACAGGGTCTCTTCCTGTTGGGGGTTGGGCTAGTGACTCATTTGGGCTCCTTCAAGTTGATTGATGCTATTTAGGATATCAATCCCTGATGCCCATCCCTAGGGATGTAGCTGTGCTTCCTTTTTCTTTTGTCTTGGTCTTGAGATGTGACCCACATGGGAGTGTCTGTCTCTTCCAAAAGTTGCAAAGTCACCTTGTCTTCCATCTTGTCTCCTTGCGGGCCTGGCCCTGTCTGACTGCCTAGAATATTTCTGTCTAACTCGGCTGCCTGCAACATTATGACTGTGGTGGACCAAGACACAGGGTCCTGTTTTTCCAAGCTGGGCTGGCTATTGGGCAGTGCCTGGCGTCAGCAGTTACCCTGTTGTTGACCACACCTTGTCCAAACAGCCAAGAATCATGGAATAGGTGTGCTTGAACCATAGGAGAAGTGAAGCATGTTTGAGAGTACGGCAGGGGTCAGTTCCCAGCAGTCCTCCTGCCTCAGCCTCCCCGGTACTGAGATTTCAGGCATGCACCACCACACCTGCTACAGTTTTTAAAATGTAGACATTCACTGCCTAGTGTCCCCCCCTTGTCTGTCTCTGCCCACTGAAGGGATTCTGCTGGGCTGTACCCATCTGAGCTCAGAATCCTTGTCACTGCCCTCCCTTCGGTCCTCGAGTCCTAAGGCTGAGAGGGATCCAGAACACACAATGGGAGAGACCCAGAAAGGTCTCAGTCCCCTCCATACTCACGCAGAGACTTGAGCGCAGCTCACTTCCTGGCCTGATGTCACAGGTCCCTGATGTCACACCAGCTCACTTCCTGACCTGATGTCACAGGTCCCTGACATTCCATGTATCCCGGAGACTGAGGCTGGGGGAGCTGAGCCCTTTTCCTTCAGCTAGTGGAAAGATGGCGGCAAGGAGAGGAACAGGGACCCGCTTCTTTGTCCTCTTGATGTACTGCTGGCCGAAGGTGCAGCTCTGGCCGATGGGAACACATGCAGGTACCGCCCGGAGGGTGCAGGCAGCAGACAGAAAATAGTGGCCCTGGCTCAGGCTCCCTGCTGTGGATCAGCGCTGCTCCTCCCAAAATCCAGGGGTTGGCATTGTAGTGATGGTGCTCCAAGGTGGATCCTGGTAGCAGAAGCTTGCGTGGCATGTGGTCAGGGGCCTGCAGCCTCCTCCTTACTGCCCCCTCCTGCCCACTGTGCCCAGTTCTCCTCAGGACTGTGAACAGCATATCTCCAATCTACTTTACCCAGTGGTGAGTGTGCTGTTATGAAAAGGTTTGTCCCCCCCACCCCAACCGGGGGTTGAACTCAGGCCCTTGCGCTTGCCAGGGAAGCGCTTATTCTACTGAGCCATCTCCCCAGCCTGAGTGTGGTGTTATGGAGCACAGCCACACGCAGACCTTCCCCCACAGCCCGCCCAAGTCTCCCGCTGCACAGCTGGCCCAAGGAGGGGGGATGTGCAGAAATTATTTGTCCTTGAAACGCCCTTGACCCCAGACTCCTTGGGGGAGTTGCATATGTCGTGTGCTTGAACCCAGTGTTGAATGTGGAGCAGGATACATTGAATGTGGTGCCGGCCCTTATGAAGTCAGACCCCCAGCCACCTCTGCATACAGGGTTTTCCCTTTGGGGAGTATCTCAGCACTGCCGTATAGCGGGCCCTTTCTGGTCTTCATCTCTGTCTGAGTTTATATTTATAATCCTAAGGATACGTTATTGGAATCCCATCAAGTTAATTCCAATCTACCACTTCCAGTGCAACCTACGGTGAGAATAAAGACACTAAAGCATATTTATAGTAACAGGGAGCCCAGTGGTCTTAGTTCCAGCCTTGGTGATGGCTATCCAGAACAAAGGCCTTGACCCAGGGCCCAACCCAGGTTTTACTGTCATGAAAGAGGAGTGGCTTGAGGATGAATGACTGAGAATGGCAGGAAGGTGAGCGCTGTGAGCTGGGCCAGGTAGGCCTGTATCTACCTCGGCAATCCGCATAGGATGCGCAGAGTGATCTGCACTCCACAGTTGAGGTAATAGCTGATGTTTTGGGGTTCCATGCTTCAGCT